CCGCACTACTCTTACCCATCGCTGTCACTAAAACCAACATACACCCCAAACAACAGAAGCATAAACAACTAGCATCAGCAGTAGCGGCAGGTAAACATCCACAATCACCACCACAACCACCACCACCCTCGTCATCACCACCACATCACCACCATCAGCATAACAACCACCACCACCACATCACTACCAGAAGCAGCAGCAGCACAGCAAGCAGCAGTATAGCAACCACCATTATCACCATCACCATCCCCCTCCACACCCCAATCATCACCACCATCAGCAACAGCAGTATAGCAACCCACCCCCATCATCACCACCACCACCACCACAACAAACCCCTCATCATCACCAGCAGCAGCAGTATAGCAACCCCCCCCCCCCCCATCATCATCACCATCATCAGCAGTATTGCGACCACCACCATCACCACCACAACCACCACCCCCATATACATCACCACCACCATCATCAGTAGTATAGCGACCATCACCACCACCACCACAAGCCCCATCATGATCACCACCATCAGCAGCAGTATAGCAACCACCATCATCACGCCCCCCCCCCACCACCACCATCCTCAGCAGTATAGCGACCACCACAACCACCACCTCCTTATACATCACCACCACCATCAGCAGCAGTATAGCAACCACCATCACCCACCGCCCATCACCACCACCATCCTCAGCAGTATAGCGACCACCACCACCCCCTTATACATCACCACCATCAGCAGCAGTATAGCGACCACCACCACCACAACCACCACCCCCTTACACATCACCACCACCATCCTCAGCAGTATAGTGACCACCACAACCACCACCCCCTTATACATCACCACCACCATCATCATCAGCAGCAGTATAGCGACCACCACCACCACAACCACCACCCCCTTATACATCACCACCATCAGCAGTATAGCGACCACCACCACCACAACCACCACCCCCTTATACATCACCACCATCATCATCATCAGCAGCAGCCCGGAGAGGCAGGCCCGCCCTCGGGTGTTCATTACGCGACCAGCAGACAAAGGGATCGCGTTATCCGCCGAGCCTAGCCTAGCCTCCTCGCCAGGAGCCCCCCTTCTCTCGAGCCACACCGTGAAACAAGACCCCGACAGCCCCCTGGCCATTACACAGACAGACACACACACAGATAGATAAGAGAGAAAGAGAGAGACAGTCACACACACAGAGACACACAAAGAGAGAGACGCACAGAGATGGAGAAAGGCACACACACAGAGATAATATAACAGACAGACACAGACACACAGACGCACGGAGATGGAGACATGCACACACAGACACAGAGAGGAATCTAGACAGAGACACACAGAGACAGACACACGCACACGAGAGATAACATAACAGACAGACACACACAAAGACAGACACACACACGAGAGATAACGAGAAACAGACAGACAGACATACAGAGAGACAGACACGCACACGAGAGATAACATAACAGACAGATACAGCCACATACAGAGACAGACACACACACGAGAGATAACGAGAAACAGACAGACACAGACATACTGAGAGACAGACACACACACGAGAGATAACGAGAAACAGACAGACACAGACATACAGAGAGACAGACACACACACACGAGAGATAACGAGAAACAGACAGACACAGAGACACACAGAGACAGACACACACACGAGCGATAACGAGAAACAGACAGACACACTGAGAGACAGACACACACACGAGAGATAACACGAAACAGACAGACACAGACACACACAGAGACAGACACACACACGAGAGATAACATAACAGACAGACACAGACACACACAGAGGCAGACACACACACACGAGAGATGACGAGAAACAGACAGACACAGACACTGAGAGACAGACACACACACGAGAGATAACGAGAAACAGACAGACACAGCCATACTGAGAGACAGACACACGCACGAGAGATAACATAACAGACAGACACAGACGCACGGAGATGGAGACATACACACACAGACACAGAGAGGAATCTAGACAGAGACACACAGAGACAGACACACACACGAGAGCTAACATAACAGACAGACACAGACACACATAGACGCACAGAGATTGAGACATGCACACACAGACACACAGAGACACACACACACACACGAGATAACGAGACACAGACGCAGATGGAGACGGGCAAAGACAGACGGGACACAGAGATTTCGAGACACAGATAGACACACCGAGGTACACACCGAGATACAGGCAGAGCGAGAGAGAGAGAGACGCACAGAGACACAGGGAGTTAGATAGAGAGAAACATGCAGCGACAGTAGCACATATACATAGTATAAACATATAGCCTAACACAGACTGTAGGGGCAAGTGCTGTCAGCGAGCACCTATGAAGGCCGGCACGGCACACGAAGGGATGGGTGGCCAGCACCACGGCCGCCCCGGCCGCCTTTGTCTCCCCAGTGGCGATGTTTACTACACACCGCACCAGGTACTCATTTGAGGCTGAGTCGACCTAGGGAAGGCCCAGGACCGGTTCATATTAATAGTCGCTGATGTTGGTGGCCGTGAGTGAGAATTGAACTCGGGTGGCCGGGTTCACAGCACGAACCGTTGCGCCATCGCTGCCCGTGTAAACACAGAGACACAAGGAACACAGCAGCAGACACACAAAACCACAAAGACACACACACACATACACGTTGTGTTATCCGTCTATGTTACCCTACCCGTGCCATGAACCAAGACCTGGGCCGCTGTGATCATTGCACAGAGACAGAGAGAGAGCTAGAACACAGGCACACGGACAAACACATACACACACAGAAACACATACAGTACAAAGTCAAAGATGCCCCGTATAGCCTTAACAGAGTGTGTGTGTGTGTTGTGTACAAAGAACAGAAAATGCAAGATAAAGACACACACGAGAGACACGGACAAAGCACAGACAAGTAACGCAAGCGCACAGAGACAAAGACAGACACACGGGCACCACCGCAGAGAAGGTGATGAGGAGGTGGAGGAGGTGTGTGGGTAGGATTAGCAGTAGCAGATTATGGAGGTGATGCAGACAGAAGAATCAATAGGAGCAGGACAGTATACGAGGTGTAGGAAGGTGTTAGAGGAGGTGGGCTAATAAGGATGAGATTTTGTCAAATCGTAGATGGATCAGGCGAAGGAGGAGGTATGGGACAGGCTTAGCAGTAGGATGATGAGGAGGTGTAGATGTCAAAGAGATGCAGAAGGAATTTATCTTCTTTCTGTATAGAATTAGGTGGTAAAAGCAGATGCAGAATGATGTGTGTACATGGCGGAGAAGAAGAGGTGGTGGTGGTGTGAGTGTACTGCATGTGGAGAAGAGGTGGTGGTGTTAATGTAGATAGAGGTGGTAGTGTTGATAGAGGAGGTGGTGGTGTGAGTGTAGGTAGAGGAGGTGGTGGTGTGAGTGTAGCTAGAGGAGGTGGTAGTGTGAGTATAGATGGAGGAGGTGGTAGGAGGGGGGTGTAGAAGGAGGAGGTGGTAGTGTGAGTATAGATGAGGTGGTAGGAGGGGGGTGTAGATGGAGGAGGTGGTGTTAGTGTAGATAGAGGAGGTGGTGGTGTGAGTGTAGAGGTGGTGGTAGGAGTGGGGTGTAGATGGAGTAGGTGGTGTTAGTGTAGACTGTACATAGAGGAGGTGGTGTGAGTGTAGACTGTAGATAGAGGAGGTGGTGTTAGTGTAGACTGTAGATAGAGGAGGTGGTGGTGAGTATAGATGGAGGAGGTGGTTGGTGGGGGGTGTAGATGGAGGGGAGGGGAGGCAGGAAGGGCACGCGTGAGCAGCTGAGTGGGGGTGGAAACCCGGTTAAACCCCCAACACACACATTACACACACACATTACACACACATATTACACACACACATACATCTACAAAACACACACGCGTCTACACAATACGCATACATCTTCACAACACACACAACATAATACAACACGCGATACAGAATACATACGGACAATACAATAGGCAGACAAATACACAATGCGCAAAAAATGCACACGCAACACAATATACATACACGCGACGGACTGCATGTCCACGTACAAACACACACACAGTACGGTACACACACACACAGTACGGTACACACACACAGTACGGTACACACACACAGTACACACAAAGCTACGATCCCCCCCCCCCATTGCCGTAAAGAAAGCGCACACAGTACATACACATACAGTATACTAACACACACTGTACAAAGACAAAGATCCCCCGTGTAGCCTGAACAGATTGTTGGGGGCAAGTGCTGTTAGCGAGCAGCACCTACGAAGGCCGGCACGGCACACACGAGGGGGTGGGTGGCCAGCACCACGCCCGGCCGCCTTTGTCTCCCCAGTGGCGATGTTTACACAACGCGCCTAGGTACTCATTTGAGGCCGAGTCGACACACACAGCATAGCATATACACAACACACACACCATAGCATATACACAACACACACACACCATAGCACACCCACAACACACACACCAAACGGCACATATACACACGGATACAAGGTCACGACACACCACTGAATAATCACACGGCCGATATACACACACCCCCCCGATACACGGACAAACACACCACGCCATACACAACAGACACACAAACCGCGACACGCACACACACGACGCTAGCTTCCACCGCCTTTGGGAGGCCAGGTCATGGAACGTCAGGTCAGGTCAAGCACACGTCACATCACCTAAGAGGCGGCCTCAGCATTCTGCCTTACGCCTTACGGTCAGTGGTCCGGCATCGTTCCGGCTTACGTGAGATCGGAGCCTCTCCTCGTCGACGCACGACCCGGAGACGCCACACACACACACACATGCCCAGGTCACCACGCCAGGGTCAAGTAGGGCGACGCCAGACCGAGTCCAGGGTCAGGTCATTCGGTCATTACAGGTCACCCCCCCCCCCCAACCCCCACCGCCGCCTTCTTCACTCTCAGCTCACCGACTTGCAGCACGTTATCCACGCATCCGCCTTCGAGGAGCCGCACGCCGCGATTGAAGGGCAGCTTGCTCTCCTCCTCGCCGTCCTCGGCCGAGCACTCAAGCGACGAGTACATGCACACCTCGCGCTCGCTGCGAGGGAACGACCAGAACACGATCCGCCTCTGCACGGGCTCGGGAATGTGCGTGAAGCGCTCCTCGACGCGCTGGAACGGCCACTTCTCGGCCACCCGCTTGGCGCTCAGGTCCAGCAGCGACTCGGGACTGTGGCCGGCGCCCGCCGCCGCGGTCCTGCGCGGTGAGAGAGGCGCCGGGAAGGGCCGACAGCACGGCCGCTTCGCGGGAGGCTCCGAGCGCTCCGCCATGCTGCCTCGCTCTGACCCCGTCCGCACGGAAGCGAAGCGGCTCAAGGCGACGCCCCGCCCCCCAACAACCCCGCCACGCCCCCTAATTGTGGACACGCCCTCCCCCCTTTAATGGGAACGCCCCCCACATTTCCCCCCACCTTCACGGTGGACACCGCGCTACCCTACCCCCACCACCACCCCCACCTCTGCAGTGGACACTGCGCGCGCCCTCCCCACCGCTCCCCTATGCGGTGGAAACCTCCCCCCCGCAGCCCCCACCTCACAGCCTTAGTCACGCCTACTAGCTAGCCACACCCATCTATAGACTCCGTCCCGCTTCATCAAATATGTAAATGACAAACCCGAATCACAACAGAATAACAAAACTAAATTAGAATACTGTATATAATAAGCGACGTTCTGGGTAATAAGCGACGTTCTGGGCGATAAGCCCTTTGTGCTGCGAAGGATCATAACACTAAAACGTCGGCCGTTTATATATATTTTTAAAGACCACGCACGGTTTTTGTTTTTGTTGACGAACGTGTTGTGTTGAGTTTGTTGTTAGTTATGCCGGGGCACCAGTGTCAACGCAGAAGCAGCATCATCATCATCATCTCCAGGTAATGTCTAACAGGAGAATAGTGCAGGCCGGAAAACTGAGGTTCGAACAACGCACAGGGAAACGTTGTACACAAAGCTATCAGCAAAATGGGACCTGATTTTTATTGCCAGGAAGGGTAAATTTACCTCTTGTTTTTTTGGCTATTGCGCATTACGCAAACAAACAAAAAAACCCCATCGGCAGTTTTGAGATCACCATCAAAATAAATGTAAAGTTTTTTGTCACTAAATAATTTTACTTTTAATACGAATTCAGCGCTATGAAGGAGGACCGTTGCACCCGAAAAGAAACCTCATATATACTTCAGTGCCGTTGACAGGTTTATTGACGAATGTGTTCAGCTTTTGTCGTGTTAACTGCGGCTTGGTGCAGCAGCAGCACCAACATAATCTATCCAATACAGCAAACTGTACATCAAAAAAAGAAGCTTTAAACCAATCCAATCACGTGGCAGAGAAGGAAATGTTTAAATACCCGACCATTAAACCCCCTCCCCCCAGCCACGCCCCCGCCTATGGCAAGCCACGCCCCTTGCATAACAAGACACGCCCCTCCCCTGGGTTCTAGCCCCGCCCGCTCCCTGCGTGGGTTCGTCACGCGTCATGGCTCTGTTGAGTTCCCCACACTCGAGAAAGAGACGCAAATTAGTACAACTTGCATAAACCAGGGTTAATCCACTGCTGGATAAAGAACTCTCCACCTCCACAATCCGCCATCTCGCACGACACCGCGGACGTAACTCCCAAGCCATTGCAACCGCGAACACGCGAGGTCATTTTAGTCGCTCCCGTCTCCTTAGGGGTTGAAAAAACGTCCCCGGGGTCCTTCTCCGGGACGCGTTCGACACGGCTGACGAATGGCTTTTCCATTGTTTGATTAATCGATTGAAATCCCGAGGCTTTAACGCTCACGATAAGCGCGCATCGACGGGGGGGGGGCGGGGGGGTGTATTTCGATGTCATTAACAGACTGTAATAATTGCGGCGTCCGCCTTATTTAAGGCACGCGGGATTATTAGACTCACCCTCGACGTTTGTGCGCCTTATTAACTCGCTGCTAGTTGGAACCACGGGATAGCGGCTTGCTGATGGGCAGGCGGGACACGCGGGAGAGTTGTTGGCAGCTTGGGAGGGGATGCATTCATCCAGCAGTGGATTGATGATGGCTGAGGAACGCGGTGAGTTTATTTTTAATTGAATGTTTGTGCTCTTTTACCACTGCCAAAGCATTTGGGTTCGTCTGTTTGTGTTCCTCATGCCGCTGCGCGTTCTACAAACATTACAATGACAATATACTCTCAATGTTTACAATCAACTCTACTGTACCTAGACCAAGGGTGACGTCATCTGAGGGGAAAATGTTTAACAAACGGTGACGTCATCATATTTCGGAACAATGACGCTATGCCGCCTTGACGTAATGGCGCGGTGTCAACAAAGCTACGTGACGTCATCTCAGAGCAATGCGACGAGTTGGAGGAGAGGAAAACGTCATCGCGTTTTTTTTTAGTTCTGCGGTGCGTGACGCAACGACGTCTGATTGGCGTCGCGTGGTTGTCGCGACCTCGGACGCGAGCGCCTGCCGGTGACGTCACTGCGCCACTTTGTTTTCCGACCGGAGTGACGTCATACACCTGGTTCCACAGAGACCACGCCCCCATAGCGGTAAAGCCACCAGCCACCCACACACTGACCATTAGTAGACAAGTCCCGCCCACCCGTATACAAGCTCCGCCCATCCGTATACAAGCTCCGCCCACCCGCATATAAGTCCGCCCCGCCCACCCGCACACAAGCCCCGCCCACCATAAAGGGGGTATGCTCCCCCTTATTTTCGAGCCACGTTTAACTCGGTTTAAAGGGCCACCCAGCCCCCCCTCTCAATCAAGTAAGCTCCGCCTATGATTATACCCCCCCCACCTCTCAATCAAGTAAGCTTCGCCTATGATTATACCACATAAGGACACGTTCACCTTTATAAGGCGGCAACGCGTCTAAATTAATTACCCAGCTAGGAGTTTGCAAGGGTAGATTCGTGGTGCACCGGCACAGAACTGGAGTTAGAATATTTATTTGTACTGAAGGAATCCGATGAGCTATGAAGCTCTTTTAAACACAACGTAAGAAGAACGTACGGAGGAAGAGGCAACAACGGAGAGGGAACGCGTGAGAGATGCGGGCTAAAGTTGTCCTTAAAGAACAAAAAACACATTAATGTTAATAAAATATACAGCAGACACATCGCACCAACAACAAGGATGAGTTTCATGAGACGAAGCGAACGCGATCCAGCGAATAAAATGACAACCATCACGGGATCGGGATACGTGCATTATAACATGAATTGCAAATACATATATACGGTAAGGATACATTTCACTGTTATCTAATTTTAACATATTTTAATTGTAAGGCCACACTGACAACCGTGTTGAGGTTATTGTTCGTGATTTGGCAAAGATCCCTCCCTATAAAAAAAAAATTAACAGACTGTTGGGGGCAAGTGCTGTTAGCGAGCACCAATGAAGGCCGGCACGGCACGCGAGGGGGTTGATGGCCAGCAACCACGCCCGGCCACCTTTGTCTCCCCAGTGACGATGTTTACACACCGCACCAGGCAGCCATTTGAGGCTGAGTCGACCTAGGGGATAGCCATGGCCGTTTCAGATAATCGTCACCGGTGTTGGCCGTGAGCGGGAATCGAACTCGGTCCACCGGGTTCTGCACAGCGATCTATAACCGCAACACGACCGCTCCCCTCTGTTGCACCGCTGCCAACACAGTAATCACCAAAAACAATCCGCTTTTTCAGTTTCAGTTGCATTTATTTGGTATAGCCCTGTGAGCCATTCGGCCATTCGGCTCTTGAATCGGGTGGTGGTGCTACGCGTGTACACATTGAACCTCTTTCGCACCGTACGTAGCCAGCCGCGCTAATCGGACGCTTTAAAATAAGCAAAATATAGGCGACGTTGCGGGCAATGGACCCTTTTCGTGATCGCAAAAGGCAACGTGATCGCACAAAGGGTTATTGTTATAACGAAGGTCCATTTCCCGAAACGTCGCCTCTTGTTTATTACATAATTGTATATGTATACAGTACTTTGTATATATTTTTAAACAATCCCTTTTAAGGACACGGCGGCGCTGTCACTGACAACCGTGTTGATGTTTGTTTTGTTTTAATTTAAAGGGATTCCCATCCACTTCCCACGTAAAGCCCCACCCAAAGCCCCACCCCCCTCCCTACCCCACACGGTGGGGGGCCCAGGGCTCCCGCCCAGTCGCCACACCATATAAGGACACGCGCGCCTTATAAGGACGCGCCGTCGTTCGCAACGTAACGCCACCGTATAGCAACAACCGTAGTAGAAAATGTAATCATTAAATTGAATAGGAGGGGTGTTGGAGGGGGCACCCTTCCTTCTATAGACCTTCACGAGACAATGGACTCGCAAAACGAGTTCCCTGCAGGATCTAATACGTAGGGGTTTGTGGTGGTGGTAGTGGGGGATGTCTTGTCTTTAGCTGTGCGAGTCTTGCGTGTGTGTCTCTTCGTGTGTGTATGTTAAAATGCGTGTGTATGTGTGTGTGTCTGGCGTCCCCTAGGTTGGCTCGACCTAAAATGAGTGCCTGGTGCCGGTGTCTAAGCATCACCACTGGGGATACAAAGGCAGCCGGGCGTGGTGCTCACCACACACCGCCTCTTTGTGTGTTGTATCGGCCTTAATAGGTGCTCGCGGAGAGAGAGCACTTGCCCCAAATAGTATCTGCGTCAATGTGTGCAGTGTTTCAATGCTGTCCCATCTTTGTGTGCTTGCTGAGCAACAACAGTTAGCAATTGTTAGTAACTTCCATGAAAGGCATCCTACAGAAAAGGCTTACAGTTCCTCTCACTGGTGCCATGCGTAATGCTATTTTGGATTGCTCACTAGATTTCCATTGTGCACAGTTCTGGTTGTTTATTATATTATTATGTATTCGTCACGTTTATATATAAATAAACGTCCACGCTTTTATATGCAGCCCCTGTAAAACCCTACCCATGTCACGTGCTGGTGAACGTGGTATCAGCTGTTGTGTGCAGCCCCTGTAAACCTTCCCCATGTCACGTGCTGGTGAACGTGGTATCAGCTGTTTAGTGCAGCCCATGTGAACCTTCCCCATGTTAACGTGCTGGTGAACGTGGTATCAGCTGTTTAGTGCAGCCCCGGTGAACCCTCCCTCCCCATGTCACGTGTTATCAAACATGGTATCAGCTGTTGTGTGCAGCACCTGTAAAACCTCCTTCCCCATGTCACGTGCTGGTGAACGTGGTATCAGCTGTTGTGTGCAGCCCCTGTTAACCTTCCCAATGTAACGTGCTGGTGAACGTGGTATCAGCTGTTTTGTGCAGCCCCTGTGAACCCTCCCTCCCCATGTCACGTGTTATC